TTCAAAATAGTTGAAGTTCCCTTTTTGCCATCTCGTTTAGACTAGGCGTCTAATCTCTATTTAAACAGAGGAAGATATAAATAAATAAAACACTCAGCTGTAGGATAGATATGAGGCTCCCATAATCGCTTAGCAAAACCCAACTACAAATTTATAAATTCTCACTATCAGGAGATTATCTTCATGTACTTGTAAATAAAGATAAAGACAATAATACAATAATATTGTTTTTCTTAGGCAAGTTCAGGGATTTTTTTTTTTTTTTTACTAAAACTGGAAACAATAATTATTTCATTATAGCAGACGTTTAGCAAAAGAAACTTTTTCTTGCTTTGTCACATTAAAACCAACCAACTTCACTGTATTTTTGGAGGATTTTATTTGACAAACTAACACGAAGCGGTGAAGTAGAAGAAAGACTCATAGTGTTTCTAGAACACCATGATATTTTTAAGCTAAACCAAAACGTGTGTGTGTGTGTGTGTGTGTGTGTGTGTGTGTGTGTAAAAATGGAAAAAACGGTGACCTGTCCAGAGTTTGGACACTGGATAGATGTATGGATTCTTTCACTCTGTGGAAGAATGAACTGTTCATGTGTCTCCTGTCAGGTCCGTGGTTCATCGGAGAGATGATAGACGGACACAGTGGCGCCTGCTTCGCCTTCGGCGTTTTCATCGACGGCCATTTCCTGGAAGGAAGTCGCACATATGTTTTTGGAGTCAATCAAGTAAGACTATTGATCACTTCTGCATCTCTGTATGCAAGACTCCTTGTAGGCATGTTTTCTTTTTCTTTTTTTATTTCATGTGTGCAAAATGCCTTTGAAAATCCATGTAAATATTTAATCAGCAATATTCTTAGCCTGCTGGAGTTTTTTAATTCATCTTTGTCCAGACTGGGGATGTAATCAATTAACTGACTTCCCCTTAATTGTTGGTTAATGGTTTATTCAGCAACCTAGGAGCTTCCTGTTTTGTTATATTTTAGAAATATGTCTAAGGTTAATAATGTGAGTCTTTAATACAAAATAATTTAATGTTTTATTTTTTTCTAATTCAGCAACTCAGGTTTTTGAGAAAATGTCAGCTCATCAATTAATCATTAGTTGATCAATTAGATCAATTAACTTTAGATTAACTCATTAATCAATAACTTGCATCCCTATAGTCCAGACTTATTTAGGCTAATAAAAAAAGAGTACAATAAGTGATCCCACTTTTTCTGGCAGCTGCTGTTCTTCAACATTCCCCTCACCTCTTACCTCTGCTGGAGCCTTCATCACCGTTGCCACGGCAACACCCTGTGGACCCACCTGGCACGGCCGGGCCGCCGTGGCCGGACCGTGGCGGTGCACGTCTTCATGCTGCTGCTGCTCACCTGGCAGGCCCACTCCTGCTACTTCCTCCTGCAGACCTACGGCGTCACGGCCTTCTTCCTGTCTCCCGTCCGCACGTGGGCCCTGGCGCTCGGCGTGGCCCTGGTCTACTGGGCCTGGACGGGCCCCGCCCCTCTGTTTCGCGACAGCGGCAAGAGCAACTCTTCCTCTTGACAGTAAATTGCACTGTTGCACCCTGAGCCTGACTCACAGATACATTTTGCTGTCTCTCCTCACCCTGAAAGCCCGACTTCCCTCCTTCCTTCTTCGTCCTTGTCCCCCCAGCGACGGCTGTCTTTTCCTCTCTCTTTCTCTACAGAACAACACCGAACTCTCCTGTTTCTAGATCGTATTGTTTACTTAATATGCATGTTCTTGTGAAACACAGACGAGCACATTTGTGGCCATATTCATAGCAATCTGTACAGCGTTTTAAGGGTAAATGGATCTAGGATGCATAAAGGGTACATAACGCACTGCCTTGCAAAAGTATTTATTCGTATTTTGTCACTTTAAAACCATGATGTTTAATATATTTAATTGGGATTTTATTGGATTTGTATTGAATCTTGCAAAGTTGATACTACGTCTTTTTAGGGATGTGTCTATTCCCCCTGGACGACTCCAAGATCAGACTGGACGAAAAGCAATTTTTAAGTCTTACTCCCGATTTTCAGGTCTGACTTTAGTGCTAGACTTTGACGAGGTAATTTAAGCAGAACCATTTCATTGCAGCTCTGTATTTCTAAGGCAGCTGACCTGCTGGAATGTGATTCTTTGCTCTAGTTTCAAGTCTTTTCCAGCCTATTTGATGTTTTTCACGGTTATTATGCTTCTTTTGAGGAAGGAGTATTAACAAATATTAACATTTCCAGATTTTAGTCAGGATTCCATTTTCTAAATGTTATCTCCTTTCTTCCATTTGTCTGTTCTTTCCTTCTCTTTCTCCTTGTGCCCTTACTTCGTCCTCTTTGTTTTCCTTTTCCTTCCTTGGCTGCTTCCTGCAGCTCTTCTCTTCGCTGTGTTCCTCCTCCTTGCCTGTCTTCCTTACAGCTTGCCAGCTGTAAAAATTCATGAGAATTTCTAGGGCTGCACAATATCAGGGAAACATTTAAGTGCGATACTAATTCTGAATGATACTTTTTCTGGATATTGCTATGACTATATCGATCCACAATTTCCAGACTTTCCCCCCCCCCCTTCATTAAAATGTCCCCACTTTCCTGTATAAGCAGGAATAATGTGGAGATCGAAAATCTTATTCAGTCAAAAAATAATTACTACAATGCAGGGCACTTTAAATATAACATCTCACAAAATATATCAGTCAAGTGTTCTTACGGTTTGCTAATTTGCACACAGTAACGTCTGATTTATGGTGCAGCTTTAACGAATGTCTAATCTGGAAATGTTGACATTAATATTTCGGTAGGAACTCTAGACTTACACACAAAATCACCCCCCGGAGAGAAGCCTCCCCAGCATGACGCTGCCATCACCATGTTTCACAGTTCCTTAGTCCTTCACTCCATTTGCTCACTAACAAATTTCTTCTGAGATTAAATGACACCCTGTCCGATCACGTAAAATCCCAATTAAAGACATGGAGGGTTGTGGTTTTAACCTGACGAAATGTGCTGAAGCTTGAAGGGTGTGTGTACCTTTTGCAAGACAGTGTGTCTAGTTTTATCCATAAGAGGAATATTCCAACTTCTACTGTGGTTGACAGTATACTGTATTCTGCTGTGGTTCAAGATGGCTCATTTACTTGAGATTTAGCACTTTTTGGATATGTTGCCTTGGCCAAAACGCCACTTCACCACTGCCAAAGGATGAGTAAGAAAGTTTTTTTTTTCTTTTTTCCCCCCCATCTCTTTTTTTATGTTCTCCTCCAAAGCTCGGTTTTGTTGATGGACGAAGGCTGGAGTTGCCAAACTGCTCCCAATGTTTACCTTGGAACACAAATCAGACAGGAAGTAGAAGTACAGCACTTTAAAAAAAAAATATATATATATATATATGTATATATATTTATATATTGCTCCACTGGAACCTGTGAGTGATAAAAGCAACCGAGACTTTCATATTCTTCGTTCAGTCCACACAGAAATCCAGTAAATCAAATCGGCATTTGGACTGTGCGAAGGTAAGTTGACAATTTTAGCTGTAAACCAAGTTAACTTTAGGTGCAAACGACTGCCAGTGATGTTCACATTTACACCAGTTTTCTCCGAAACCCTGAACCCGACTTGGATTTTTGTTTCTACTCTCAGAAAGCAGCCGTTTGTTTCTCAGGAATGTGAACGCTTCAACAACACGCTGGTTCCAGAAGTTTATTTTGTTTGTTTGTTTGGTTTCGTTTTTTATACTCCAAAAGAGTTCAGTGAACAAAAACCCAACATGAAGCAATCCAGATGTGTTTTGGATTAGCAAAGAAACTTAGATGAATGTGTTAAACGTGTGATGAAATGAGATCAACC